ACCTTCCTGGTCACTTCATCAACGAACTCTAACAAATTTGTGAGGCTCCCATGCTCAAAGCCATACTGACTACATCTAATGAAACCCTGTCTTTCCAAATACATGTATATGTTATCCCTCAGAATCTTCTCAAGAAACTTACTGACCACAGATGTTAAGCTCACTGGTCTAATGTTTCCAGGTTTTTCTTTGCAGCCCTTCTTGAATAAGAGCACAACATTCACTACCCTCCAGTCTTTCGGGATCTCTCCTGCGGCTAGCGATGATGCAAGTATATCAGCCAGGGTGCCCACAATTTCTTCTCTAGCCTTTTGCAGTGTTCCTGGAAGTATCTGGTCAGGACCAGGAGATTTATCCACCTTCATACATTCCAATACTTCCAACACCTCCTCTACTCTTATATGGACTGTCCCCAAGATATTGCTACTAACTTCCCCAAGTTCCCAAGTCTTCATGTGTTTCCCCACGGTAAACACAGAGGAGAAATATTCATTGAGGACCTCGCCCATCTTCTGCGGTTCCATACATACATGTCCACTTTGGTCCTTGAGGGGTTCTATTCTCTCTCTAGTTATTCTTTTCCCTTTAACATGCTTGTCCCTTTAACATGCTTGAAGTCTTATGTAGAACAGTAGAGATTTTCCCTAAAGTGAGTGTGAAATTTGATAAAGTGAAAGTATTGTAGTTAATTGACATAAGACTAAACGTGTCAACCATTATTCATCAGCTATGGTTACTCAGTTAAAGAGCTGGTGCAGACCTGATGGGCTGAAGGCCTCTTTCTTCTTTCTAACTAAAGATGTCCACCATGTAAAGAATCCTTACCACCACATTTCACTCCATTACTGAGAGGTGGTCTGGGTCTACCAGCTGACGTCTTAGGAGCGAGTTGTTAAGTCAGTACACCTCCTCCATAGTCCTTGTGAGCAAGAAAGGTGGAAAACTGAAGATCTGGGTCAATTATTGGGCATTCAAGACAAAGATTCATCACAGTGTTTAGCCTCTACCTTGGACTGAGGAAGCATCGCCAAGTTCTCAAAAGATACAAAGTAATTCTGCAGATTCAATTTGGCCGATGGTTGTGACCAGTTACTCATTACTGAACAAGGCAGTGAAAAGATAGCAATCCAAACACTTTATGAATAGACAGGAATGCTGTTTGGACTCTAATGCTTGTGCCACTTTTACATGTTATGATACGGTTTTTGATGATATTAGTTTCCAGTTTCTCCTTGGCATACCTGGTGACATACTCATCTCAGTTATACAGTCGAGGTGATGCTTGCGAGACTAGACATTGTCCGACCCATCTTGTTGTTGTTTAATTTGAAAGTCAAACCAGAGAAGTGCCACCTTCTCCAGACAAAAGTGTGATACCTTGGGCTCCATGGAAAGCATTGCTTCTGACGATGAGAAAATTTGAGCAGTAGAGAAGTGGCTGTGGCCTAAGATGGGGAGTGACCTGCGTGGGATGCTTAGTCTGGCTGGTTACTGTGCATAGTAGATGTTCTATTTCATGATTCGCCAATGAATTGAAATGCTAAAAGAGGGATTAGAAAATGACCTACTTCATGGAACATCGTAAGGAGTTGGACCCCTTCATGCAGAAGCCTGTCTCATCACCTGTCCTTGGCTAGCCAGATTTCCAGTTCCCTCTCAAGCTAATACCAATTTCCTTGGTCTGGGAGTACTGACATTACAGGTTCAAGGCAGAAGGGAATGGTTATCACTTAGGCCAGTTGGAGTTTCAAGCCAACCGACAGGAATATAGAGAATTATTCCAGCATGACACTTGAACTGCCAGCTTTGAGGTGGGCTGTTTCCCAAAAGCTCAGGGACATTTTTATTGGTGTAGAGTTTGTACAACCACAACTCACCGAGCTCCTTTCAAATGTTTGCCAAGCTGGGAGTGACAGAAACTCAGTGGCCTGTTCGACCTGCCCAGTTTTGATTCTAGATCCCGTACAAAATATAAGGCTAATGCCCCTAGTTGGAAGAGTGACCACAGGAGGGAGCCCACCCCTGTCCAGCTGGAAGGGGCAGTGGATCGTGCTCATGCCCATGCCCCATGTCAAAGACAGCATTCTGAGCCGGATTCCCTCTGACAATCAGCCTAAGATTCAGCAGAATGTCTCTGATAGGCTTATGAATGAGATCGAAGCCAGGTCCAGGCAGGTGGAGCTACGTCTGGTTTCACCTTTGCCATCTATCTCAGAAGAGGACCTCAGACAGTTTCAGCCGATTGATGTAGGTGTCAGTCGACTGAACCATTAACAGAAGGCCCAACATCCACTAACCCAGCACCAGGTGATGAGGGAATTCAAACTGACATGGACACTGTTGAGGTGCTGGAAGAGGATCAGGGAGGATTGTCCTCTAGCAGCTGGTTCATGACAAGGAGGGAGAGCTGAAGTAATTCATCTTTCCCAACAGCTTCAATTGTCAAATATTGGCAGCAGTTCATGATCAAACAGGACACCAAGCAATGGAAAAGATGACTACCCTGAGCAGAGAGCGGAGTTACTGGTCAGCAGTAGCCACGGATATTGATGATTACAGTCAAAATTTTGAGACATGTACCTTGGCCAAAACAGGGAAGCAACTTTGCTTCTGGCAAGAGACATCCAAAGGTCCTCATGATGGTTTTTACAGTCCATGACCCCAGTAGTTATGGGACTGAGAATGTTCTTATGCTTACGAATACCTTCAAGACTCATACAGACCATTCTCATCCATGGCCAAAAGGCCTCAGCTACAGCCAAGGAGTCAGTGGATGGTTGGTTTGTGTGTTTTAGTGTTCCAGGTCAGATTCAAGAGTTTTGCAAGGTGTATGCCTCTGCCAAGGGCAATTCTATCCCCTATCATTCGGAGGGATATGAGGTTTGTTTCTCTCTCCATAGATGCCGCCAGATCTGCTGAGTGTTCCCAGCATTCTTTGTTTGCATTTCGCATATTTTCCTTTTGCCAACTTGTCTCATTGTTACTTTTTCCCTATACGCCATCATCCCTTTTATCATACCGTTGTATCTGTCCTCCTCCCATAATTCCTTTCTGTTGTCTGCCTTCTCTCTTCTGTGTTTGCTTTGAAAGTTGTTCCAAACTGAAACTATTGCCCCTGCACAAACTCCACCTGAACTGTTGTACCAGTGTTTTCTGTTTTTTATAATCTCGCTTTATTTAATCATTATTTGCTTAAAACAGTTTAGAGGAAAGGTCTAGGTCTTAGTTAAAAAGTAATCTGGCCACGTTACTGTGTTGTGAATTTTTCCTTTGAGCAAAGGCAAAATAGTTCATGATGATAGCTGCTGGAGAGTTATACAATCTCTGATAATGTCATGTTAACTGCCATAGTGATATAAAAATGGTCAAAGATAGTTCAAGTGAGATAAGATATTTCCCATTTTTACTGCTATTATCTTTAATACCTTGCTTATCACTAAGTTGCTGACTCTGCCATTTCCATCTTTGAACCTTCCTGTTTAATCTGGCCTCCTTTCTATCACCCATCACTTTCCCCTCTCCCTTTTCTATTTCCCTTATTTATTCTAAGGATTCTTAAAAATTCATTCATGGGATGAGGTCATCATTTATTGCCAGCATTTATTGCCCGTCCCAAATTGCCCAGAAAGCAGTTAAGAGTCAGTCACATTACTGTGCATGTGGAGTCTCATGTAGGCCAGACCAGGTAAGGATGGCAGTTTCCTTCCCTAAAGGACATTACTGAACCAGATGAGGACTGTTGGGAAGGCAGACATTCATTGGCTAATCATCTAATTGAAAGGTGGAACATGCTTGTGTGGGGGCAAATGGCCTACTCCTTTGTTCTTTCCTCTGTACCTTAGACAAAGGGATTATACAATTAATGAGAGAGAAGAAGTGATTTGTTTGGCACAGTGGCTCAGTGGTTAACACTGCTGCCTCACAGCACCAGGGACCTGAGTTCGATTCCACTCTTCAGTGACTGTCTGTGTGGAGTTTGCACGTTCTCCCTGTGTCTGCGTGGGTTTCCTCCAGGTGCTCCAGTTTCCTCCTACAAGTCCAAAGATGTGCAGGTTAGGTGGGTTGGCCATACTAAGTTTCCCATAGTGCTCAGGGATGTGTAGGCTAGGTAGATTAGCCATGGGAAACGTGGGGTTACAGGGATAGGGTAGTGGGGGCGATCCTGGGTAGGATACTATTCGGAGGGTCAGTGTGGACTTGGTGGGCCACATGGCCTGCTTCCACTGTAGGGATTCTATGAAGGAAGAGGGAAAGATTAAGACTGATAGCTCAGTCAAAGAGGTAGTACAATCACAATGGGCCAAATAAAGGCCTGTTATATATTATTCTATGATTTTCCTGAGGGTTTGGGGCTGATAGTTTCTATCAGCTGGAAGTTATGAAGTCACCTTTAGGTGCACTAGTCCAATTAAAATTGATTAAAGGCATGCTGGAAGGCCCTCTTTCCCAAATGTGTTCAGCGACAACAACAGAGTGTGGAAAGCTACTTTCTGGTCTATCCTTCATTTTTGGGTGATATGACAGCTGCTGTGGCTCTGAAATGCCAGATTGCGAACTGAAGCTGACACCTAGTTTCACAATGGGGCAGGAGGTATTGTCAAACCTCATTGTGCTGTGCCCTGGTCTATGTAGTAAATTCATGTTTTTTGACCCTGGATACAGCAGTAGGAGTCTGTAATTGATCAGATTTGGAATCATTTGATCAGTCAACCTCATTTCCACCTGCACAGCTTCAGATAAGGTAAGATTGTAATCTGAACCAAAGATAGGCACAATAAGGAACATATCAAAGTCTAGAAGCATCATTGAGGCAGTGAAACACCTCACATATCTGTCCTACATACAGGTCCCTATCAATAATAAGCCCTAAAGTTGATATTGTGTATTTTGCAATATTTTTAAATTCAATGTGGTTATTGCCATGGTCAGAGTCTGCAGTGTTAATTACGCTGTAATGTAATCTTTCAAACATGCTGATCCTTGTCTGTTTTCCTTCACAGATCAAACCCAGTGTTGGTGGAATTGAAGTCCTTGAATGCACAGCCACAGTTCCTCAGCTACACTGTCCATCCCAGGTATGACCAGACCGGTGGTATCTGCTGCTGTCTAACTAGAGAAGTCAACATACACTATCAAACATTCCTCCCATGTTCAACACCACCACATCTTTACTGCATTGCAGTGCTTCATTAACTCACTCTCTCTGTCCATTCCTGTAGGAGAGACCTTACCTCTTCACTTACCAAAACAGGGACTACGGAAACAGCCAGAATATGGAGGACAGGGGGCCAAGTCAGCAGGTAAACTATCTCACATGTGAGTGAATTCCATCTTCATTATATGCATCTTCATCATTTCCTCCCTTGTTTGGATTCTTTCATCTTCCTGATGGTCCATCTCCTTCACAATTTGGACCTCTCCAAAGTGCAAACTCTCATTTAACCTTTTTTACTTTGTTTCTAACTTATTTTCTTTCGATTTTTGCCATTAAGACTGCTCCACAGCTGACGATGAATCTTTCAGAAGTGACCTTTCACCAAATAGCCCTGAATCAATTTCATTCAAATGAAGGAATCTGGACCTGCTATCCACTTCCAGCACTTTCTGCTCATACTTTAATAACTTAAATACATTCAAGAAAATTACTGGCAGCAACAGTAACCTTTGAATAAATTTCTTACTTTCAAACAGAGTTCTGGCAGCAAACTGACTTGTACAGAAAGGGACCCCTCTGATGCTATTCCAGTCTCAGGTACAGTAAAGATACATGCTATTCATAATTTTAAAAAGTTTTTTTTTTTTGGATCTTGCCCTTGAACCAAATGCCTTGCTAGGCCGTTTTAGAGAGCAAATAAGCATCATCCCACATTGCTGTGCGTCTGGAGTGTTAGGACAACCGATCTCTAAAGGGCATTAGTGAACCAGATGTGTCTTTAAAACAATCTGTAGTAATTGTTAAGTTAGCTTTGTATTGCAGACTTATGTATTGAATTTCTACCAATTGCCGTGCTGAGATTTGAACCCATGGCCCTCAGAATACTGCCCTAAGCCGCTGTTAAGTATATTTCCACTATGCCACCACCTTTCCTCACTAAACCTGCTCCTGCCAATCCAGTCAGATTCAGCCTCTGACCATTCATCAACTTACAAGTAACAGCTTTGCAAGAAATATTGGCTCCAGTACAGTGAGCCAAGTGCAAATTCATACTGTTCTGAAGGAAGAAAGTATCTACACCAACCCTCTTCATCCCACTCATTGCCTCACTTCAAGAGTTCACTTTTATAGTTGTAGACGGCAAATGTCAACTTCCCAAAGAATGTTTCTCGTTTACTCTTGCAGGCATTATTGCAATTGATCTCTAGGCCAGGGGCTGTGACAATGAGGCTCAACCCTCGCTCACAGTAACATAGAAACAGATGGAGGCCATTCAGCCCCATGATCCTGTTCCCCCATTCAACAAGAGCATGACTGATCTGTACTCCACTTACCCACATTGGAACTGTATCCTTAAAAATTTTGCCTACCAAAAATATACCCAGCTCAGTTCTGAAAATGACGGTTGGCCACCTCCCGTTGTCCATACCTAGCCTTGAAATATTGATGTTTTGTCGACCTAAAGGCTTTTACTACCCTTTATTTGAAGGAGTGCTTCCTGTGTCACCCTTGAATAGTCTAGCCCTAATTTTAAGGTTGTACCTCTTTGTTACAGGCAACTCCACCAGCAATAGGCTTTCTCTGTCTTAACCTATCGTATACTTTAATCATGTTAAACACTTCAGTCAGATCAATTAAAACTTCTTTAGTAAAGGGAAATACAAGTTAATTTTTAAAAAGTCAAGTGTGTGCAACCTGTCTTTAGCGGCAGTATAATTCTAATGAAAACCAATACGAAATTCCACTTCCAAAAACCGTTCCTGAGGGACATTCCCATTAGTTTCCAGTCCACGCAACCTCTGCTGTAGAGTTAACTGTTGTCTGTTGCCAGACCCATGCTAATCTGATCCTGCCTGGCAATTCTTTGAGAACTCTTTTCCCATGTGATGTTAATAGCCTCTGTATGTTTTACAAAATATGAACAAATGTGAACAAAATAACTGGAACATTTCCCTCATCAAATGGTTTGATTTGTGGGTGCTAGCAACAGCACCATCAGGAGTTCGTTCAGATTGGGAATGTGTAGGAATTGGTTCCGATTAGTTGTTGCACTGAGGCTAAAGCTCAACGATAGTTATTTAAAAACCTCATTGTGCCAGTTTGACAAATTCAGATCCAGTCCACAGTTGAACCAAAGTCATTTTTTTATCAATTTTCTCTGCTGCATAGCGATTCTGGAGTTTGAGGGTGCTAGAAGCAGCATTGGCCATAATGATGTGATAGATGTTCATTAACATGTTCTTCCAGTAAACAAACAGGCATGGTCTTTCTGGTACACATTTGTTAATCTCCAGTGGAGTGCAGTGGAAGGGTAACAGATTAGACTAGGGCCTTGGCATAATTCAGAGCTTCTGCCAAGTTTTGCTCTGTTGGTCTCAGAAGAAAGTACTGCTAACAAGGCAGGGAAGAAATGGGTTAACATGTTAAAATGCTGGATGGATGGCATTGGCTTTTGTGCATAATTATCCCTCTCATTTGCTACAAGGATGATGGCTTTAATGTCTCTTATGTTCTGTCATTTCTCCACAAGTCCACAAGCTTAGACCAGCCGACATAAAGGTGATTGCTGCCCTCGGAGATTCCATCACGGTGAGTCTGCTTGGCATTGCTTTGAATTTTGTTTCACCTTCCAGAGGAAAGGAAGCATCTTCCCACCTCCCCTCCCTTTGCAGGGCTGTCGTGGAATGCTTCACAGTGACCTGCTTTTGGTGGCCACAAATGCAACGAAGCATCCCTCACTCCTGCCAGCCTGAAACCAGCAGCCATCCATCAAAGGTTTAGAGGATTTCCTGATGCTTATAGAATCAAAGAGTCATATAGCGTGAAACAGAACCTTTGGTCCAAATAGTCCATGCTAATAAAGTTTCTCAAACTAAGCCAGTCCCATTAGCCTGCTTTTAACCCATATGCCTCTAAACCTTTCATACTCATGTATCCATCAAAATGTCTTTTAAATGTTGTAATTGTACCTGCATCCATCTCTGCCTCTGGCAGTTCATTCTACAGACAAATGACTGTCAGTGTAAAAACATTGCCCCTCATGTCCTTTCTAAATCTTTCTCCTCTCACCTTAAAAATTTGCCCCCTAGTTTTGAACTGCCCCGCCTTAGGGAAAAACTATTCACCTTATCTATGCTCCTTATGATTTTATAAGTCTCTGTAAGGTCACCTGTCAAGCTCCCATGCTTCAGTGAAAAAGGTTCCAGCCTTTCCAGCCTCTCCTTATAACTCAAACCTCCATTCCCAGCAACATCCTAGTAAATCTTCTCTGAAACTTCTTCAGTTCAGTAATACCCTTCCAATAGCAGGCGGCCAGAACTGCAGACAGTACTCCAGAAGAGGCCTCACCAATGTCTTGCTCAACCTCAACATGACGTTCGAACTCGTATAGTCAAGGTCTGAGCAATGAAGGCAAGCATGTTAATGCCTTCTTAACCATCCTGTCTATATGTGATGCAAATTTCAAAGCATTATGTACCTGAACCCCTAGGTCTTTCTACACAACACTATAGAGGGCCCTGCCATTAATTGTATAAGTCCTGCCCTTGTTTGTTTTACAAAAATGCCTCGCAATACCTTGCAGTTATCCAGAACCGGAGAACTGTAATAGTTAAATGTGCTCATTTCCTATCCCTACTTGAACAACAAACATTGAGAACAATGCCCATTTTAAATATTAAGTCTCATTTCATTTTTCAATCTTTCAATCCCTTTCTCCCTCTTGTGCTTATCCAATTCCCCCTAATGAGATTCTGTTATTTCTTTCAACCATCCATGAACTGATGAATAAATACAGATAAAAATATCAGCACTAAAAATGCTGTTGACCACCTGGGAGGAAATTACAGTTTTCATTCAAAGTTGATACACTTTAAAGTTGTTCAGTTCCTTACCATTCTACAGGAAATGTTAGAAACATTGAAGATAGGAGCAGGAGCAGGCCATTCAACCCCTAGAGCCTGCTCTGCCATTTAATATAATCATGGTTGATCATTGCGATTAATATCCTAATCCCAATATCTCTGGATTGTTTTAACCACAAGAGCTATATCTACCTCCTTCTTGACAACACAATGTTTTGGTCGCGATCATTTTCTGTGGTAGAGAATTCCACAGGCTCACCACTCTCTAAGTGAAGAAATTTCTCCTCATCTCAGTCCTATCGGGTTTGCCCCTTATCCTTAAACTATAAACCCTGGTTCTGGACTCCCCCAGTTAAAATCGATGCCAGCCACTTTTTCTTCATTGAGTGGAAGTTGATGTAGTTCATTTAGTCTCTCAAATCTGCTCTGCCATTCAATAAGATCAGGCTGATCTCCTACATCAACCTCACTTTCCCACCCATTCCAGTATCACTCAATCCTCCCTAATGGTCAAAAATCTATCGCTCTCAGCCTTGACCATGTTCAATGGTAGAGCAATCATATTTCTCTAGGATAGAGATTCGCAGGTCCTGAGTGAAGCAATTTCACCTCATCTCATTCCAAATGATGCTTATCCTGAGACTTTGCCCCTCGGTTCTGGATACTCCAACTACAGGAAACTGCGTCTCAGCATTTACTCTGTGTAGCCCTCCAAAAATTGTGCATGAACATTGGAAACTGGGGGACTACTTGTTAGTGCCAGAGTGGCATACAAGGCTATGGGCAAGTACCGGAATTTAATTAGCTTTATTGTCACATCTACTCAAATGAGTACAGCGAAAAATTTGTAAGTCGCAATTTACTACACCATCTTAGGTATAAATGTATCCAGGTACAGCTTCTTCAGTTACAAGATTGGTTACAGTGTAACAATGTCACCAACATATGGTGCCATTTTAGGTACAGAGTACCTAGGTGCAATCCTCAGTTGCAGAATAGAGAAACGAAGAAAAAGAAGTTACATTACTGCTATATACAGGATAACCATAGGTCAGAAAAACATGAAGCAAAGTTAAAAAGACCAACATCACAGTCACTCTCTCCTAAGGCTATCTGCAGCAGACCAGCACAGGGCGCCTCCACATGGACTGACCACTGTCCACTGCCATGCTCCACGCTGGGCCCCTGCTGCCATGCTACACACCAGGCCACTGGTCAATGGCACCCCTGCTTTGGGTTGCCGACCACCGACCCCACTTTGGAGGCTGGGAATCGGTGGCTGGGGCAGGGTGTCTGAGGCCAAGGGAAAGGAGAGAAAGGAGGAAAAGAATGGGAAAGAAAAATGGGATTAGAACAGTTAACTGGATGTTTTTGACTGGCGTGGACGTGATGGGCCAAAGGGCCTTCTCTATGCTCTAGATCTTGATGACTCTAATGATATATGAAGGGTCTGTCGTGAGCTTCTCTTATGATTTCTCTCATAGCCTGTTGAGTTTGGTGTTGGACAATGGCTAGCGAGAAGTCCCCTTGCTGCCATTTCTGTTTTGCTTTCCTGGCGAGATGCCCGAAAAGAAGGATTCAATCGGGACCAAAGTTGAATCAGAGATAGTAGGAACTGCAGATGCTGGAGAATCCGAGACAACAAGGTGCAGGGCTGGATGAACACAGCAGGCCAAGCAGCATCATAGGAGCAGA